ACATAATAATTAATGGATATAACATACATAATATTTAATTGATATAATATATCCATTAAATATAACACATAATAATTAATGGCTATAACATACATAATATTTAATTGATATAATATATCCATTAAATATAACACATAATAATTAATGGCTATAACATACATAATATTTAATTGATATAATATATCCATTAAATATAACATATATAATAAAGAGAAATTAATCCATTAACTTATGGCTATATCATGTTGAAACACAGGTTCGAGTATGATCACTGAAGTTAAGCAACATCAAGCCTGGTCAGTACTTAGGTGGATGCCTGTCTGGAAATACCATATGCAGTAAGCCTATATGTGCAGGTGGTGTATTGGGTAACAGCTCAGAATTGGAGCTGAGTTCTAATAACAATCAGGTTTGTTAGATTAACTTATACACAAATACCCATGTGAAAGGTATGAATCCACCTCTTCAGCTATGGATTAATCAGTAGGACTCGTATCAGTAAATCATTATTTTTTATAGGCTGTATATTTAACTAAAAACCATGCATTCTATCTTCTTATAGTTAATAGTCCTTTCTTCTTTCTTTCCTTTACTACTTTGTCCAAGAATTTTTTACTGTTTCGTATCAGACATAACCTTTTAATATAAAATTCAAGCAATGAAAATTTGGAAACTTGTAAAAGAAAAAAATGGTATTAAAGAGTAGAAAATACAAAAATGAATGACAATAAGAATAAAGACTATTTTTATTAAACAATAGAATTATTTGTCTTTTTTGTTGAATTCTATTTACAAAAAAAAATATTTTAATAAATAAAATATTCAAATTAATATTTCACACATGAACTGATCCCAAATAATTGTCAACTATTATGAACTTTTAACTACTAGTTCTAAAAAACAAAATAAAATGTAGCAATGAAAGTAGTCATGTTCCTCATCAAATGAAATGCTCACAGGTTGTATGTATTCTTTGTTGAAAATAAATTTAGAAAATACCCAAGTTATGTTTCTAGAGCATTTGTCTATAACTTGGCAAGACATACAAATTTTGATCTAGCCATTCATGGGCATCTGTGTATATAAGCTCCTAGAGTTGAGTATCAAGGAGCATATTCTCATTGCTTATGTGTATTCATGTCTTTGCAACCATTGCATTTTTTTGTCTGTTGGGTTTTGCAACTGTTCAGTTTTTATGACCATTGGGTTTTGCAACTATTCACTTTTGCAACCATTCTGATTCTGAACCATCCACTTTTGTTTGTTGCAACCATTTTCTTTTGTGACCATTCAATTCTGTAATCTGCATAAATCTTTCCACTTACAAGCCATTTCACCTTCAATGAACATGGATAGCAAGTTAAAGGAAAGAAATACTAGTTAACACTTAATAATGGTTAAAAACAATACTAGTAATATATTCTTTATTTTTTTAATGAAATATTGTGTCAACCATTATGAAATTATAACTAGTATTTCCAAAAATAAGATGAAAGAAATACTAACCAAGAATTAATAATAGTTAATAACATTGCTAGTTCTTCATAAAGAGTCAGAACATGAGATTCTGGACATTAAGAGATTTTTATGTTGACTGGTGCCAGTTCCAACAGATGGCCAGAAATTCGATAATATGCTCAGGTGTGAACAGGAAGATAGGATGCCTTTTGGCTGTGGCCATCTGCCAGGGCTGTATGGTCTGGCTAATATCCAATGCAATTACCTGTAAAAGAATCTTTTTTTCTCATTCATCAATACACAGGATTGACTAGAAACAACTACTATCATTTGGTTAGTTCCCTCAAAACAGATGAGGTGTATTTATCAAGCTTAACTTACAACAACACAAGTTCAAATGCTAAGCGATAGAAAGATTGCTCTGCAGCATTCTTACAAGTGGGGAGAACACTGCCTGTATGAAAACTCATTCTTTTGAAATCAAAGACACTTACAACAACTTGAACAGCAACTTCTAATATTGATGGGAAACAGAAGTCTTCTTTTATGTGTCACATCCCTTCAGTATTTAGGCGATCATGGCTCTCCACAATTTCTTGTCCTTTGTAGCTCTTAATAAATTTTGACTTTTAGTTATTTTTCATAAAAACTTGTTCCGTCATCACACAAGCTCACTATGTAGGTTATGCATTGTTTTACTCTGTCCCTCTTGCCCTCAATCTGTCCTGTGAGTATTAGATTTTCCAAACCCTCTTTCCTAATTATGTGCTCTAGAAATTTCAAATACCTCTTCCTGATGTTAAATCAAAAAGTGGAGTATTGTTGCTTTATGTGGATTGGAGCTGCCAAATCCTTACATTCAAGGCTTGATAGAGTTCAAAATCATTTACATAGCCTTGTGGAAATGACATTTTCTACTTCAACTAAATACATTTGGAACACAATTGTATGCTTTCAACTACAGATAAAATGTATTGTTGGTCATTTTGCTATAAAATGTTTTGTTGATAATTTTTTTTATATAAAAATGTATTGCTGGTATTTTTACTATAAGAATGTATTTTTATACTTTCATAGTGTTTTGATTTTGTTGGGGGGGGGTTCAATATTTGCCCATAGCTGGGACCCTAACAGGTACTACCACCACAGCTCAGGATGGACCTGGGAATGACAACAATTAAAAGTTGGTTCCATGCTCCTCAAAACCTTCAATCTCCTGATTAGAGGTCTTGCTGCTGGAACATAAAGAATTACAAAAACTTCAAACTTGTAGTTAATATTTGATAACAGGCAAAATAATACAGTTAATTTTCTGTATATTTTATTGTTTATTTCCACCATCTTCAGAAGCTTATAATTCAAAGTGGTTTGTGCTGATATTTTATCAGAATACATTTTTTCTGAATGTAAATCATTTTTCTTTTATTTGAAAGAATCCACATTACTAATTGTTTCTATTTGTGGCTGAAGAAGTTTATTTATTTTACTAGATTTTATAGAAATAATAATACTAATATTGAAAAGAAAACATCATAAAATCTGCAAAGACACAAAGAAAACAAAATCTTTGTTGATTATATAGAGCAAATATAAATGCCTATCATGCTATCTTAGCTTTGATTGCCAAAACTCACTTTCACTTTCACTTTCACATCATTCATTTAAACTTTATTAACGCTTTAATACATCATAAAATATAGTGTCTATAACTTTAAGAATGCATTATCATGCCAAAACTTTTCCAAGTGTAAAACCCCTAAAGAAAGAGAAGTTACTTTTCTACAGAGAAAGTGGTGTACAGAGAAATTTATCTATCTATTTTAGAGGGTATAATATCTATTGGCAGTCTGTCTATCTTGGTATAATATCTATCTATCTATCTATCTATCTATCTATCTATCTATCTATCTATCTATCTATCTCTGGTTGAATCTCACTCTGTTCATATCTATCTATCTATCTATCTATCTATCAATCTATCTCTGGTTGAATCTCACTCTGTTCATATCTATCTATCTATCAATCTATCTCTGGTTGAATCTCACTCTGTTCATATCTATCTATCTATCATTCTATCATCTATCTATCTATCAATCTATCTCTGGTTGAATCTATCATCTCTATTCATTCATCTCTTGTTCTATCTATCTATCTATCTATCTATCTATCTATCTATCTATCTATCTATCTGTTTTGTTCATATCTATTCTATCTATCTACCTCTATCTATCATATCTATCTATCTATCTATCTATCTATCTATCTATCTATCTATCTGTTTGTTCATATCTATCTGTTGCTTGTTCATATCTATCTATCTATCTATCTATCTATCTATCTATCTATAAATGATATCTCAGTCTATACTGGATGATATAATATACATCTGACTGTATTTCTCTTTGTCTCCCTCCCTATGTTTAATTATATTTCTGTTTCTCTTAAAAGTGGTGTTTAGAAAAATCTATCTATCTATCTATCTATCTATCTATCTATCTATCTATCTATCTATCTATCTATCTATCTATCTATCTATCTCAGTCAATTTCTATATGTTATTGTCTAGCCATATTAAATTACTAATAATAATTTTCTCTATTTTCCAAATTATATGATTGTTGGTGAATTTGCCGTTAATTTTATAAGTTTTTTTTTACAATATTATATTTTATATCAACAAAATTATATTTTTTAAAAATTGAACACTTTAACACCTTTTGAATACTGAAATGTTGTCATATTCTTAACAGACTATGGTAGTGCACATATTTCAAATTTGAAATTTAGTGTTTATTTTTGTAAAGTATAAATATGCTGCCTGTTAATAATTCGGTAGATTTTTCAGACCCTCTAACCCTGGTGAGCACTATTACATGAAACACTAGAGTTGATCAGGAGATAAGTCATCTGAACATTTATTCATTTATTGACTATCTATTACTATAGGCTCTTCTCAACATTATGGATCAAATCAAACTTTGTGGTAACAACAAAAGCAAAACAAAGAACCATCATGTGGCAGCAAAATAAGCACAACTTATCTCTCCTCTTGCTTGTAACCAACCACTATAAAAAAATAAAGTTTTCAGCACTAAAGTTGAATAAAGTTTTATAAGCTTCTACTTAATGTTACTGGTATACTACACAGTGCAATGGTTAAATTCAATCAAATCAAAAGTTAGGAGTTTAATCCAAGGATTTTTGATTGTGTCTACAACTGTCTTTAAGGAAATTAATAGAGAAAAAATTATGTTACAAATTAGTCTATTATTCTAAGTTTAATAATTGTGTGAGTAAAAATAAAATAATATTTTAAAAAATGATACTGCTTTCAAATATTTTTAATGGAGATAAATACTTCCTTTGCTCAGAGACCAAAACCATGTTAGCCCCAAACTCTGTCTGAATATTCAAAAACAGAATTGTTGGTAATCTCAATACACAACAGACTTAAACAGAAATATGGATGTTTCTTATGAATATTTTTTCAATCACTTCTTTTCCATTTGATAGAAAATAATAATAAATGTATTTTCTAGTAATTACCAGGTGATAAAAGGTGATAGATAGATAATAATTTTCTCTATTTTCCAAATTATAGGTGATAGATAGATAGATAGATAGATAGAAACAGAGTGAGATAGATTGAGAGAAAAAGAATGAGATAGATAGATAGATAGATAGATATAAAAAGAGTAAGATAGATAAATAGATAGATAATAAAGATACTGAGATAGGCAGATAGATAAATTTTAAGTTGATAAAGCTAGATAAGAAAGGTACAGATAAGTAGTTAGTCAACTGTAAACAGGAACAGATAGATAGGTAGATAGATATGAATAGATAGATATGAATAGATATGAATAGATAGATATGAATAGACAGTAGATAGATAGATATGAATAGATAGATATGAATAGATATGAATAGATAGATATGAATAGATAGATATGAATAGATATGAATAGATAGATATGAATAGACAGTAGATAGATAGATATGAATAGATAGATATGAATAGATATGAATAGATAGATATGAATAGATATGAATAGATAGATATGAATAGATAGATATGAATAGACAGTAGATAGATAGATATGAATAGATAGATATGAATAGATATAAATAGATAGATATGAATAGATAGATATGAATAGATATGAATAGATAGATATGAATAGACAGTAGATAGATAGATATGAATAGATAGATATGAATAGATATGAATAGATAGATATGAATAGATATGAATAGATAGATATGAATAGATATGAATAGATAGATATGAATAGACAGTAGATAGATAGATATGAATAGATAGATATGAATAGATATGAATAGATAGATATGAATAGATATGAATAGATAGATATGAATAGACAGTAGATAGATAGATATGAATAGATAGATATGAATAGATATGAATAGATAGATATGAATAGATAGTAGATAGATAGATATGAATAGATAGATATGAATAGATATGAATAGATAGATATGAATAGATATGAATAGATAGATATGAATAGACAGTGAATGATAGATATGAATAGATAGATATGAATAGATGAATAGATAGAAGATATGAATAGATATGAATAGATAGATATGAATAGATATGAATAGATAGATATGAATAGACAGTAGATAGATAGATATGGATAGATATGAATGGATATGAATAGATAGATATGAATAGATATGAATAGATAGATATGAATAGACAGTAGATAGATAGATATGAATAGATAGATATGAATAGATATGAATAGATAGATATGAATAGATATGAATAGATAGATAGATATGAATAGACAGTAGATAGATAGATATGAATAGATAGATATGAATAGATATGAATAGATAGATATGAATAGACAGTAGATAGATAGATATGAATAGATAGATATGAATAGATATGAATAGATAGATATGAATAGATATGAATAGATAGATATGAATAGATATGAATAGATAGATATGAATAGACAGTAGATAGATAGATATGAATAGATAGATAGAAATAGATATGAATAGATATGAATAGATAGATGTGAATAGATATGAATAGATAGATATGAATAGATATGAATAGATAGATGTGAATAGACAGTAGATAGATAGATGGATATGAATAGATAGATGTGAATAGATGTGAATAGATAGATGTGAATAGACAGTAGATAGATAGATAGATGTGAATAGATGAATATGAATAGATGTGAATAGATGAATATGAATAGATATGAATAGATAGATATGAATAGATATGAATAGATAGATAGATATGAATAGACAGTAGATAGATATGAATAGATAGATATGAATAGATATGAATAGATAGATATGAATAGATATGAATAGATAGATATGAATAGATATGAATAGATAGATAGATATGAATAGACAGTAGATAGATAGATATGAATAGATAGATATGAATAGATATGAATAGATATGAATAGATAGATATGAATAGATATGAATAGATAGATAGATATGAATAGACAGTAGATAGATACATATGAATAGATAGATATGAATAGATATGAATAGATAGATATGAATAGATATGAATAGATAGATATGAATAGACAGTAGATAGATAGATAGATATGAATAGATATGAATAGATAGATATGAATAGATATGAATAGATAGATATGAATAGACAGTAGATAGATAGATAGATATGAATAGATAGATATGAATAGATATGAATAGATAGATATGAATAGATATGAATAGATAGATATGAATAGACAGTAGATAGATAGATAGATATGAATAGATAGATAGATTGATATATAGATATGAACAGAAAATCTTTCCACCTTCACAAGAAGTATTACAAATGTGAGTTTTTATTTGGCCCAGACAATCAGCAGTGAAGAAAAATTCATTACCATTTTAAAGTACACCTATTTTGTAAAACTGGTAGACAAAATGAGAACAGAAAATGCTAGATGAGAATAATCATTGATCAATAGATTAAAAGAATAATCTTGTCGCAATTTAAGCCGGCTGTTGCCTTATGTTAGAAACTATTGATTTAATAACATTCATTTCTGTAGAAGAGAAAAATTGAGAATGTTTTTCAGCAAAAGAAAAACGATGAGAAGACTCATCTGTACTTTATTAATTTTTATTCTAAATACAATGACTCTTCAAGGCATAGATGATAATGGTCCTCCACAGTATCCATTTCTTTATTATGTCTATACTTAATAATAGTATTAGGGACTGAAATGGCAGACATATATAAATATATATATATATATATATATATTTTCTATTATTTTTTTTCAATGAAAAGATAACTAAAAAAGCGAGAAGGAACAGATTTTATTTATGGCTAAAGAAAATTTCCACAACATATAAAGAAAAATTTAAAAATCTGTTTGTTTTTTATGGCTTATCAACCTTTTGCAAGTTATTTAAAGTCAGCTAGAAAACATTTTTACATTTTAAGATTTTTTTGAAGATAATAGTGATTTACTGATACAAATCCTGCAGATAGATAGATTTTATTGTCAATTCTCAAGAACAAAGAAAATGTATAAATTCACTTTCATCATAAGTTTAGGTTTTATTACAACTCTAATAATTGCTTTTTAAAACAATAAACATTGCTGAGGAGTGAAGGTAGTTAAAATAATAGTGATATTAAGAGTAAAACAATTCTTTTGACAAGAAATTTTTTGGGGACACAAAGGTTAAAATTTGCCAAAATGTTTTTCAAGTATTACAATAAAACTCTGATTTCATATGATTTTATGTCTTGATTTAACATAAATTTGGGACATACTATGATGGGTTAATGTTTTTTGTTTTTTCTCTTTGGCTCATATTTTTCTTACTATTTTGATAAAAAAAATTTTCTTAATACCAATTTAGTGTGATTCCCACTTTTTTCATAAAGAAAATTATGTACAAAAAATAATATATGTCAAATATATAATATAATATAATATATATAATTTCTTTTTTCATAAAGACATTTTATGAACCTCAGATAAGTGAAACATTGCTCTCCAATATGGGCCATATCTCAAAGTCCATAGGCCAAAATGACTTGTCAAAAAATTCATGGAAAGGTGTCATGTACCAGTTCTGCATCAAATTGGCAATATGTGGGGGAGCACCATCTTCAGTGAAGACATAGCAACTTCCAAATGGGGATAACAATCAGAGCAACATTTATTTGTGAACACTGCTATTCATTTTCCCCTCTTCTTCAGTGAACACCAAGGACAATTTTGAACCATCAGAAGCAACAGCTGCACAAACCATAACACCAGTTCGTTTCAGCCACTTGAAATGTGTTCTGATACCTTTGAGAATGCTTCTAGGCAAAGTGGTGTGAACCCTATTGCTTTTTGTAGTTGATCCCAGCCTTCACAGTGAAAATTTCTTGTCTGACCTAGCAAAGACTTTGTCTGCGGCACATTGCATCTCCTCTAACATATTCCTCTCTCTGTCTAGCCGTTTTTGAGAGTATATGCCATCATTGATTCTTGTATGATGTGGCTAACAATGAGGCAACATAGGTCTCCCCAACATCTGCTGTTAAAAAATGCTATCCACTTTCACTCCTTCTTCAATAAACACCAAGAGCAATTTCAAACCATCAGAAGCAACAGCAGCCAGTTGGTTTCTTTCATTTGTAATGAGTTCTTACACCTTCAAGAATGTTTCCTGGTGAAGAGACATAAATCTTATCATTTAGGTAGTTGACCACAACCTCAAGATTAAAAAAAATCTTATCAAACCCAAGAAAGGTTTCTCTGAAGCACACTGCATCTCTTTCAGCATTTTCTTCCATCATCAAACCGTTTTTGCTTGGATGCCTTTGAGAGCAGATGTCATCACTGAATCTTGTACTATTTTAACCCTAAATCCTCTTTCATAATCCTCCATAGAGACCTCTCCAAAATATCCAGCTCTTTTGCCATCATCTTCATGCTTCTTTGGGGATTTCTCTTTGCTCTTTGCTGGTTTCAATGATTCTTCCTGGAATTGGATTTTATGAGATTGTTTGCTCCTCTTGAAACTTTTTCCACACATTAATAACAGTTTTTTGGCCAATATTCAATTTTTTTATCACCTCACAATTCTTCATACCAGCCATTTTCAATGCTACAAATTGATCCATTTTGCTGGCACCACCATATTTAATCAAATCTAAACAATAAAACAAAAGAATGTTAGGAAGTATTGAAACCATTTTTTCAAATAAAATATTTCACTTTTTGTTTAAATAATGGGTAAATAATTTATACTGTACTCTGTATGTATCTATTCATCTATCTATTTGGCATATCTTGTTTTTCTATTTATATATCTATTTATCTGAAATCAGAGAGCCATTTTCAAATTCCATTCAGGTTTATGGCATTCACTTATACACAAGTATACTTGGAAAGGTATATATCCATCACCTCCTCTCAGTTATGGGATAAATAGTATGACTTGTATATGAAAAAATCAGTGCTATTCTCAAAAGATTTTTAATGCAATATTCACTCACAAAAAAAAAGAATTATTCTTACAATCTAAAATATGTTTCAGCTCTCAGTGACCCACAAAAGGGTTGATAAGCCAAAAAAAGCAAATCCATGAATCATTAATAAGTTTTCAGGCAGTGTGCAATGTGAACATAACCATTAAATGAGGGGTTCACATACCACGTGACAGCAAAGTGGGCTGATGGAAGTAAAGTCCCAAGATCATAGACTTTCTCTGGGAGTTTACTTCTCCTAGATCAATATCTGTGTAGACTTAGGTTTCTGCTGTTTCTTTGAAAAAATATTCAGAAAATATGGGTGATCCGAATAGACAAAAACTGTGGTCATCATCTCACAAAAATCTAAAGACTTTTCTTTAAATTTTCTTTTTTATATATATATATATATATATATATATATATATATATATATATATATATATATATATATATATATATATATATATATATATATATATATATATAATAATACCTGGCTACTTATATTTGAAGATACCTGTCTATTATGGAGGCTAGACAATCCCTATTGCAGATGCTCACTCAAGCACATTTGTGTTTTGTTCAACATCCACAGAACCAACCTGTGGTTTATACTGCAACTATGCTGAGCAGACCTTAATTACAGTTTCTGGGAGAGAGCATGTGATCTAGCGTGATTAACAATCTGAACAAGGCCAGCACACTCAAACCCTCAGAGGGCTTGTGACTTCATGCTAGCACAGCTATTGACAGTCCCCAAGGGTCCTGTCTACCCAATTTCACTCACAAGGCTTGGGTCAACCCATGGTATGGTTTTCAGACACTTTCCAGTCCGATAACACCAGAAAGTCTCCTTCCTGACAAATCAACAATGTTGAGATTCAAACCTGTGTCTCACGATCAGAAAGCAAACGTTCTAACCCCTCAGTCACATGCCCATATATATATATATATATATATATATATATATATATATATATATATAGATGTGTGTGTGTGTGTGTATTTAGATGACAAAGTGGGAATATTTTTCATGTGATGCATTTTGTTCTTTATGACTTCATCGTACTAAAGTGATGTTTACATTGATATAACTATACATGTGCATGATAGATAGATAGATAGAAAAATAATATATTTATTAAACATAGGCAAGTGTGGCACAAGGCCATAGTTGCAGAATATTCTTTAAATACAAATAAGAGAGAAAAATAGATAGAGAGAAAAAACAACATATTTATTAAACAATGGTAAATCTGCCACAAGGCTATATTTGTTGGATATTGTATGAATAACAATATGAGGGAAAATTGGCATAGATAGATAAAAAAACAATAAGGATAATAATCAATGGATTGAGGGGAAAATAGAACACAATGATATATAAAAAAAACTTGGATAGACTTGGATAGATAAATTGACAAATGTTGCATTTGGAAAATAAATGCATTGTGATGTGTGTAATTGACTGTATTGATACAGTTCACTAAAATAAAATGTCACCCCCAAGAGATTATCAAATAAAATATTTTTGATCTGCCAATTGCTGTTAACATTCACTTGGTTATTGAAATTGACAATTCTGCTTGACAATCAGACAACATAGTCAAGAACATTAGGCTGCTTTTTGTCAAAAATGATTTGCTTCTGTAAACATCAATTTCTTGTTTGTTTGGTTTTTCATCTGATTCTTTTTTGTTTTTGACTTTTCACATTTTTAATGCTTCAGTTTCAAGCAAATCTGAAGTCGGAAAATCCTCTTTAAAAACTATTTCTTTTCCTTACGCCCCATCCATTTCTTTAGTTCTTTTGGAAATCTGTGATTCCAAGTGAAATGTTATTATTTTAGACAACAAGAGAAAGAAATTTACTGAACAAATGGATCAATAGTTTTACTGCTTTATTATATCTACCTATTTATTAGATGAGAGGACATGGATTCCAAATACATACAAGTGTTTTCTATCAAAATCTATCTATCTATCTATCTTGTGTTTTTCTATCTATCTATCTATCTATCTATCTATATTTCATGTCTTGTGCTTTTCTATCTATCTCATTCTGTTCATATCTAAGATAGATAAATGGATGGATGCTGTGATCTGTTTATATAATATTCAAATCAATACAGATTATGAAACAATCATTTCTTGTTTTGCATAGGAGAAATCATATATGACAATTCTTTTTTTTTTCACTTAAGAGACAGCTGAATTTTCTAGGGCACATACTGGGGAAAAAAGGGTTTGAAACACATGATACTCACAGGACCAATGGAAGGCAAGATGGACAGAAGAAAATATCTCATAATCTACCTCATGAGCTTTTGTAAATGGATGGCAAATCAGGGTTTAGGAGGGATAACAAAAAGGCAAAATTTAATTAACAGCAGGAAATTGTGGAGAGTCATGATCATCAATGTCCTGAAGGAACATGGCACATAGAAGAAAAAGAAGATAACATGAAATAAAAAAAGATAAATTTGTATACTTTCCTATGAACAGGCAAATTCAGATTGATGAACAAAATAATAAAGAACATGATACTAATATATGTTCTTTTTTAAAATGTCTATATTGAGATTTATATTAAACACTTGTCTGCAGTTGTACCAGAACATATACATTTATACAGTCATAATAAACAAAACTTCTGGTTTGACATTTCAGCTTCTTTTTTTTCTTCTGTGTTTTATGAGACAGAAAATTAAATTATCTAAGTTAATTTCCCAAAGGTAAAATGAATAATAATAAAAAAAAGTTCTCTTTCAAAACATAAATAATCCTACATCACTGAAATTTTTTTTCAAAACAGTTTTTGTAGAAAAAAAAAATGATTCTTGTTTTATTTCAAAGCTTACAAAGACATTAAAGCCTTGTCCAATCAAATTTACTTAAATCTATATCATCTGGTCGATTTAATATTGTTTCTCCATTTCTATACAAATTGAATAATAATTCCCCTTTGAAGACATTAACACAAAACACACTTCCTTTATTCTTCACTTGTAATAAAACAATTAATATTTTTCACACGTTAACTATTGTAAATTTTTAATCAGGCTTTCTTTTCATCATATTTATGAAACATTACAAAAGGGAGCAGTTTACAGCCACTTCACATTGAAACACTGCTTCCTATAGGATCACCAAAGTTAAGCAACATCGAACTTGATCAGAACTGGGATAGGTTATCACTTGAGAATACTGTAAGCTTGGATGTGCAGGTGATGTAATGGAATTGGGAAACGGAGAGCTGAGTTCCAATTCCAGTTGTGTTTGTCATATTCACTTACAAGCAAATACACTTGGAAAAGGCATAAATCCACCTCTTCGTTAATTAGTAGGACTTGAATCAGCAAATCATTATTTTCTAAAAAAAGATTTTTACAATCTAAAAATATTTTCAGATTTTAAATAACCTACAAAAGGTTGATAAGGCTGCTCTACTATTTAACCCATAGCTGATGGAAAAGAAAAGGTGCTGTAAAGTTGGATGTGTGGGTGGTGTAATGGATAATGGTTTAGAATTGTTAATCGGAGAGCCAAATTCCAATTCCTGTTGGGTTTCTTATATACACTTACAAGCAAATACCCTTGGGAAATGTATGAATCCACCTCTTCTCCACCCCCCCAGCAATGGATTAATTAGTATGATTTGTATCCCTAAACCATAAATAAGATAAAAATTGCATACAAAATATTTAGATTTCGGCATTAAATAACCCATAGAGGTGTTGATATGCCACTAAACTAAAACAACCAACCAACCAAACATTTATTTTATCATTAAGCTATGAACTTATTGACTTACCTGTGCAAATAGTGGAACAGTTATTAGCACCAAATATGGAAATGGTGTGGCAAGTTTAAATTTAGGTCCGTTACACTCACTCAATACTAATGCCCTTGGAAAAAAAATGAATCTATCTTCCTCCAGTTATGGTTTAAATAGAAGTGCAGTCTGAGCTCTTTTGCCTTGATAGCACAACCAATGCAGGAAAAGGAAAACTCTGAATTCAAACCCCTGTAAATAATAGGACTGACTGGGCTCTTTAGCATTGGTAGGGCAACCAGTCTAGGAGAAGGAAAACTGAATTCAAACCTGTTTAATAGGATAATCGGCTCTTTAACATTGGCAGGGCAACCTGTCTAGGTGAAGGAAAACTCTGAATTTAAACCCCTGTAAATAATAGGACTGACTGGATACTTTAGCATTGGTAAGGCAACCAGTTTAAGAGAAGGAAAACTTTGAATTCCAAACCAGGCTCAATCAGGTTATTTTGCCCTAGACACACTTACAGCTTCAGCACAGGCATTACTCTAACAACCCTAATGAGTTAGAAGACTTGTGATTGTGATGATCTTGAATCTTTAGTACAGCTGTCAAGACAAACGTTCTAGTAATAAATTCATATTTCTATTAATAAAAAAAAAGGACAAAGATTTTATTCTCATGATAATCTTCAGTAGAACTTTATAGATGAAGTAGATTTACAATCTTTAGCAAGACATGAAGATCTAAAATTTATTTGATCATTATTTTTTAAATCAGTTCATTTTATTTTAAAATTGATTTTCTTAAATATCTCAATACTATATAGTGAACTGATTTTTATAAAGAATGCCGACAGGCCTAAAAATATTTAATCATTAGCTTCTATTTATAACATAAATGGAAGCTAATAACAAATATAGCAATTAAAAATAAAATTGGTACTGGTGCCTAATTCATTACTTTTAACAAAAATTTTAAAAAAATACATTAAATGAAATTAAAATTTAAAGAGGCCAAGTAAATACCGCAATTAAATCTTCTATAAATAGAATTTTGTCATCTGAAATTGAAAATATGAATTCTTACTTAAACATTTCCTGTTATGTAATAGAAGTAATTTATATTCAGTTTATTCTATGAAAACCAAGATGGCAAAGTCTTTCTACATGATACATAGTATAGTTTTTTTGGTTTTTTTTTTACTTACACTATTTACATGCAGACTATTGTCCTCATCACAATGTTTTGACTGTTATGTTCTCCTGCCTATACTAAGTGTATGTTGATCCAGTTAAACTACAGGGAATTCCAAAATGTTGTCTGGATTGGCATGCATCTAATGAAAGCCAGAGAGCACAACAGCAGAAATGTTGTGATAACAACAACAAAGATGAGGATAATAGTTTCAGTGTAAATAGTGTAAATAATGATAATTCCTCATCCTAGAAATTCAGACATATTTTTTTTTTCTTTTATATATAAGTAAAGAGAAAATAAGCCAAAAAACTACTCTTTGAAAAAAACAAATTTTATAGTTTTTTACCTGTTTGGTTTGGATGCTTGCATGAATTTTATCTGCCATTAAAGGTGTAAAAAAGTTAAAACAACATTAGAAATAAAGAAAAGAGTGTTTGAATACTCTGTGATGACTACTCTTTTATATTGTAGTGAATTATGATAATTTTATTGCAAAAAAAAAATCAAATGACAGAGATGTTGCTTTCTTGGCAAATGTTAAGAATGTCATAGAACAAAGCATTTGACAAATGAGAAAGTTCAAAGTAGAATAAGAACTACAAACTCTTTATAAATAATCCAAAAGATATAACTGAAAAAAGTCATGGATGTATTTCACTTACAGGATTCATTAAAAGCAGAGAAAAACAGAGAGTAACTTGTAGTATGTAATTCACACCAGCAAATACCAGAGATCTGAACCAAATTTAATGTCCATCAAGAGCCTTTGATCTAAGAAGAGTTGATCTGTGGTGACCCCAATATATGCCTGGCTTGCCATAAGAGATATTTTATCATTTTATTAAAAGGCCAGTGATACTTTATGAAAAGTTTGCAAATGGTTTAAAATATTGAAGTATGTGATTCATGTCAGGAAATACTGCAAGCCTGAATCAAATTTAATGTTCATCAAGAACTTCTGATCTAAGAGGAATTGATCTGTGGTGATCCCAATACATACAGAACAAACAATACAGTCAACAGAAAATATGACACCAAAATCTAAAATCACATTGGAAAACCAAAAGATGCCTAAACAACATATTACAAAACAAAAAAAAATTGTTAGAAACAAAGAAATGTCTGCTAAAGAACTATATAATATCTGTTCAGAATTCCTTTATAGGGAGAGTGATATTATATATTTCCTCACAGATAAAGAGAATACTGGAAGCAACAGAGACATGTGGTTCTACAGAAGGATGCTGAGAATATAATGGACAGAGCTTGTAAGCAATGAGGAAATTTTAAAGAAAATGGAAACAAAAAGGACACTTATATTATACTATAATCAGAAAGAGACAGTTGAAATTTCTAGGACACATTACGAGGAAAGAAGGCTTGAAAAATATGATACCCACAGGACATATTGAAAGGAAAAGCAACAGGTGGGGCAATATATATATATGGATAGTGGAAC